GAATTTGGAATCGAGTGAGCTTTCTGACGTACTTAACACAACACCCGGGAGAAGTTGCAGAGAAACCTGGTCCCAGAAGTGCTGTACTTGCCACAGAAATGAGTCCTGCAGATGCACTGTAAGCCTGTGACTTCCGGAATCCATTGTTACTTCTGCTTTTTAAAGTCTATCAGTTATGAGCACATTAAAAGAAAACTTAATTAGCAGTAAATAAATTTATCTTTGGATACGTGCTGGTCATCAAAAAGAGTATTTGGAATGTTTAAGTCTTTATTATATGTTTGTTATCCAAAAGATAATGCGATGCTATAGTTTGGAGTCTTGTAGTAATTTGTTATAGTGCTGCAGTCTGTAAGCTTATCTCCTTAGGCTTTGTCTTAAAATACTGAAGCTGTAAATATCCTTGAATTTTCAAGAAAATAATTTTGATTACAGCCTATTAGCCAGTGCGGTTCTACTTAAGCAGAGTTTTGGAATAAATTGTTTACTATTGAGTGAATGGAAAGTAAATTGGAATAAAATGGGTATAAATACAAGGACTGTAAAAGTTAAATGGAAAAACTTTAGACTTGCAGTCTTTCACCTGGTTTCAAGTCTGGTCAAAACTTGCTATGACCTTGGGCAAGACAGCAATTCCCTGGGCCTTGTCTGTTTCTTCTGTTGTGTAATTGGAATAATAAAGTCTTTCTCAGATTAATTTTGAGGGTTAAATGAGAGAATTTTTGTAAAAATGTTCTACACATTACTACAGAAGGACGCAGTAATGTGATCGAAAAAGTTTGTATATAGCATTCAGAACTTTGTGAATGTGAACTTTGTGAACTTTCGTTGCCCAGGAAAATGAAGTGAGTTTGGTTTACATTTGTGTGATTTTTACTCTATTTCCTTGGTCAACAGGCTCTTTCTCCTGAAATTTGATTTATTTGAATAGGCTCATGTGCTCACACTGCCTGTTTAAGTATCAATATATGAAAACCTCAAAGCAGATTTTGTATGTATTGTGTCCTTATTTCAAGTAGAAGCTACTTTGGTGTAAATATTCTTAAAATTTACAAATATTCATGGGATGCTTAATGAGTGCACGGTCAATTTCTCTCTGAAATGAAAATATTACTGTCAAAATTTCTTCTTTCAAAGAACAGATATCCAGAATACTCATGGAAAGTCATGTGACAAGAGCCATAAGAAAATCATAAGCAGCATTTCCTGGGAGTTTAGAGGTGGAAGAGATCACAATTAGATGAGAATTGCAAGATGCGCTTAATGAAGGAAGTGACAATAAACTTGGGCTTTGAAGGAAGACTAGACTTGGATGCTTGAAGAGCATAGAGAATGTACATTCTGGTGAAGCAGGACTGAAGGCACAGACATGAGACAGTATGGGGTATGTTAGGTGACCAGTGAGTCTCTCTGACTCAGCTGTAGGTTGTGTGTTAGGAAGCATGCCGAAAGACTAGAAATGTGGGGTTGAGTTGGATTGAGGAGGGCTTCAAATGGCAGGCGGAGGAGTTCGTACTGGATTTAGTAGCCAGTCTTCTGGCAGCTCGGTATCACAGAATGAATTGTTACTGAAGACTGTTTTGAAGCTTTTCAAAAAGTAACGGCATTAGGAATGGAAACGAAATGAATACAGGAGATTTTACAAAGGAGTGATTTGAATACTTGGGTTATAGGGTGAGGATGAGGGAAAAGGGATGACAATGACTGAAGTGTGTTCAGTCCGGGTGGATGGTGGTACAAGTAGTAGAATTAGATAAATAAATAATCATTTGTGTGGGAAGGTGATGAATTCCAATTTACACTAATACAGAACTGGAAATTTCAATAGGACTTTCAGGGGAAGTATTCTAGCAGGTAGTTGAATGTCAGTTTAGAGCCCAGAAAAAAATTGGAAAATAAAAATAAATGCTAGTGACTTCCAAATTAATAACCTTGACTTGTGCAGTTTTTATTCAGTTTTCTGTAAGGCCTTTAATCCTTTCTCCTGAATAAAACTGGACTTCCTACGACCCTGTATCTTTACACCTGTAAACTTGGTCATTTACCTGAAGTGCAGTTGCCTTCCACTGCTCTTCCTGCTTCAATCTTTCTCCCTGTATCCATTCAGCATACAGCCAAAGCGAACGGTTAAAATTCTAAATCAAGTCTGCCATTGTGTTGCTTGAAATATTCCAAATGGCTTTCTCTTGAATGTAGAATAAAATTCAAACTACAAAGCTAACTTGATCTGGCTCCTGCCAGGATGCTTCATCTTCTTCTACAGCTCTGCCTGGCTTACAGGGCTCTGCCTACCCTGGCATGCTGCACTCTGGAACTTTCACAGGTTTGGTTTCCTGGATTGGAGCATTTTGTTTTTAGTAGGGTTGACTTCTCAGTTCAAACTTTACCTTTTTGAAGAGATCCTGCCTAGCATTCTGTAGCACTGTTTTATCACATAGCCCTGAAATAATTTACTGAATTGTTTGTGTTTTCTGTTGAGAGGTACCCTTCTTGAGAGTGATACAGAATTTTGAATGAGGGCAAAGACGTCTGTTTTCTAGGTTGCTATTACTTTAACTACTGGTGTGTGTAGGAATTCTATAATAATTGAATGAAAAACTTGGATTGAATTGATATCTCTGTTCTATTTAAGTATGAGGTTTGTGTTTGACTTAAAATTTTTAAAAAAATAATTTAATTACCTTGGGAAATGTGACTGAAGGACTTGTAGTAATTTAAAGGTGGCTTTCTTGAGCATGGGTTAGGAACCTAAATTGGAGTAGGGTTAGTTACTAGATTGGAAGTCCCTTTTAACAAGTAAAATATAAAATCTTGAATTACCATATATAAGTGTCTTTTGTGAAACCTTTTCTACTTCTTTCATCTATAGTTTAAAAATTTTTTTTGCCTGTAGAATCTACTAATTTTAACACCTTTTTCTGTTGAGTAGGTAGATTTTATTTTGTTAGGTAGTGATGTTTTCCATGAAAATAAGCCCTCAAGAAAAACATTACATACTTGTCTGGAGTTACTTAGAAAATATTGTATGGGTGTTTGTCCAGTACAGTTTGAAATCATCAGTGATCAGTCAGTCAACTTTGGTCTTAGTAAGTATATTTATTACTTCAGTGATAAAACTTAGGTATGTTTTCTGTGTGATACAAATAAACACATTACCAATTAGCCATTTCACCTTCACTATAAACTATTTTCATAGTAAATGCAGTTTCAGTTTTTTGTATATCATTGTACAAATATTGGGACTGATTATTTTAGATTTTTATATTCTTGATATATTCTGTTGCAATTTTTTTCCTCTTTGCCTATCTGATTTGTGTCAGTTGCTTATGTATTCTAGATACTAAGACTTTGTTAGGCATACATATTTTCTCAATCTATAGATTGTCTTTTGACTTTATGTAGTCTTTTAACTGAAATACTTAATTTTCATATAGTCAAATACATCACTTTTTCTTTTAGGATTTGTCCTTTTGAAATTTATAATACTCTTTTAGAACCCCAAATGGTGCAGCTACCATGATGTTTTTCTTAAACATTGTATAGGATATCACTTTACATTTAAGTGTTATCTTAGTCTCATTTAGCCTGCGTGAGAGTCTTTGTCTTGTTGTTTTGTGAGGCAGGGTCTCACTATGTAATTCAGGCTGACCTTGAACTTACTATGTAGCCCAGGCTGGCCTTGAACTCAACAGCAATCCTACTGCCTTAGCCTCCTGAGTGATGGAATTACAGACATGTACCACCACTCCCAGCATGTCTTTTCTTGTCTTTCATGACACTGATACTGTTGAAGCAAGAATATTGCTTGGGTATTTTGTAGAATATCTTTTATTGGGTCTTTCTTTTGTTTTCTATAAATTGAGATTAGGAGAGGAATATGTTACAGTGCTACAATTAAAAATCGTGGCTCGTGAATTAAGAGGCAAGTGAAAGAGAACAGAAACTCCAGAAATAACCTCAAATATATGTAGGAATTTAGTGTTTTATGAAGGTAGCATCTCACATCTTGAGGAAAAAAAAAATGAGTTATTCAGTGACTATACTAAAAAAACGATTAGATGATTAAATTTTTTTTTTTTTTTTGGTACCAGTAATCAAACTCATGACCTCAGGTTTTCCAGGCAAGCACTTACGCCGCTGAGCTACATTCCCAGCCCCAATGCTTAAAAAAATTTTAAAATGGAGAAAGGGTTTTTAAAGTGTGATAAAAACCCAGAAGCCATAAAAGAAAAGATTGATACATAAATTTCTACCTAGTAAAAATTGCATGAGGCAAAGTTAAATAGTTCACCTAGTCATTTGCAATTTATTGAAATTATTCCTAATTTTCCATAAATAAATAAATCTTTCAAGTCAATAAAAAAATCTATGACAAAAAATAGGGAAGGAATATGAACATGATTTGCAGAAAAGGAAATAAGATGCCATTTAAACATTTTTTTAAAAGCTATATCTTGTTCATAAGAAAAATATAAAATGAATCCATACTGAAGTATTTTTCTTCTGTAGGGTTGGCGTGGATCAGTGATTCTCAGTCCTGAGTGCTTCTTCCAGTTACCTAAGAAGCCTATAAAGTACTGATTCTTGCCAACTGATGTGTCTCCTTGAATGTGTCATAAGCAGTGGTATTTCTTTTGGTCTTTTTGAGACAGGGTCTCGCTGTGCAGTTCAGGCTGGCCTTGAGCTCACTTTGTAGCCCATGCTAGTCTCAAACTTGCAATGATCCTCCTGCTTCAGCCTCCCGAGTGCTGGGATTACAGGCACGCACCACCACGCCCGGCTAGCGGTGGTATTTCTTAAAAGATGCCCAGATAATTCTTAGCATGCAGTGAGAACCACTAGCATAGATTTTAAAGCCTGATAATATCCCGTGTTGGTGAGGTTGGGGAAACTGTCCTTCCAATACATTGTCGTTATATTATGTGTAAATTTGAACAGTCTATGGAGGGAAATTAGCAGTAGTTATGAAAATAAACACACAAATCCTTCTGCCTAAAATTCCTTGCTAGATATTTTCATATAGATATCTTCTCTTAAGGGCATTGTTAGTAAAACAAAAAGCTGAAAAAAGTAATGTCCACTGTTAAGGAACTGCATAAACACAGTACAGAAAACCAT